AAATAAGAACCAAGATACATCATGTACAGGTACAAGCACCCAATGATAAATGGAAATGTATTGTATACCTAAAATGTACCAATAAAAGAATTTAAGCAAAAAACAAACCAAAAAAGAGCTTAGCACAGCATGAGCATTTTAGTGCAGTTAGCACTGGGGCTGTGGAACTGTTTCCCCTCCACCCACTAGAACATGGGCAACACCCCAGAGCCCATCCTCCTTCCATGATCCTAGGGGAAGTAGAAATAAGAATAGCAAAGATCCAGGACATTTCTAAAGCTCTAGCCAGAGCACATGCATGGTAGATACAGTGGCTTAGCCTACAGTAACTTTTCCCACCCGAAATTCGTTAAAGGTTCATGCATAGGGACTGCATGTCATGCATGTGATGATGACAGAGTGAATTGTGGGGGAGTCATGCATACTAGATACCCTTGAGATGACTCAGCACCCTGTCCATCACTTTGTCAATCATATCCAGAGAGATCCACTGAGAGGCTCCCTGGGTGGGGTCACATCTTTGAAATCCTAACTTATCCTTCATCCTGACTTATCCTTCAACTTCTTATTCTCCCTGCTACCCCAGCACTACTTCTTTCCCACTTCGTGGCACCATTTTGTTTCTGCTGGCACAAATCCACTCAATCTGAGCATACCTGCCCCATTAACTTCAATAAATGTAGATGCTTTTTCTTTCACCATGGGGTGTGTACTTGTTCTTTTCTCTGTGTACACAAGAATCTGGAATCTATACCTTGGGAACCCAGCATATATTTTATCAATTTCACTCGTAGATATATACATAAGAATACTGAAACATAGCCACACAAAAGCATATATATGTATTATATATATATTCACAGCAGCATTAGTCATATGAGCTAAAAGCTAGGGACAACACAAATGTCCATAAACTAATGATTGGATGCACAAAAGACGATGCACCTGCACATTATATTATTAAGGCTTCTAAAAAGAATAAAATGCTGAAAGATCCTACTAGCTAGATAATCCCAAGGAAAACATTCTTCTGAGTGAAAGAAACCAGATGACACAGTATGCATCATGTATATGAATTTTCCAGAATTGGCAAGTCCATGGAGAAAGTAAGTCAGTGAGGGAGGTGAGGGATTCAGAAGAATTGCTAATGACTACTATGGCTCTTTCTGGGGAGATGAAAATTTTCTGGAATTAATGTACCTATTATTTCAATAGATGTTTTCCCTTTAATACATTTCAAAAATACAGAAAATCATAAATAATCTTTAAAATATTTAAGCATCCTTCACTGAGATTAAACAAGTATTAACAATTTCCTATTTTTTTGCTTCCTTTCTTTTTAAAGAAATAGTTTCTCTACACGGCAAAAACAAAACAACACACAATACATCACAGCACATTTATTTTGGATGGACAAATAAATATATGATATTAATAATAAAATGTTAGTGGTAGACTCTACATGCTGGATATGTGTTCACTGGTAGAATTCTTTGTGGATATTGGAACACTTTCATTACAAAATATCAGGAGCATATACAGCTGTTGATAAATACATTTCAAACCCAACCCATTGCCTGCCACCCCTGCCATGTGCACAGTTGTTCTGGAGTCGATATGCAGAATTCTTCTGTTTTTATATTCTTTCTACACATCTATTTATCCATAAACTGTATAAAAGTTTCTCAAAAGGTTCATAAACAACTTACACCCTTTTGCAACTTACTCCTATCCACTCCACTGTAAATTCTGAGATTTGTCCTGGTAATGAATGCATACTAGTGAATTCTTTTAACCACCATGTCCATCATAGTCACACTGAAGGTTATCTCTTAAGTCATTCTCACATCAGAGGTCTCGAGCCCGCTTCCTACCACAAACCCTCTTTGCACACCTCCCCCTGCCCTCGCTTGCTGAACTTTCTATCTGTTGGGAAAAGTGAGTCCTTCTCGGGCACCTTCCAAATGAATGTCTTAAAAGGCATTTTCCAGAAGATGAGAGAAAGAAATTAAAAGTCTGTTTTGAAGAGGAGAAGAGAAATGAAAGGAGCCTTCTTAATACTAGAGTCAAAGGGGATTTCATGACGATATCACAGACTGTGGCTTTACAAGTTTGAAAAGAGTAAAAAGGAGCTGGGAATGTAGCTCAGTGGTAGAGCGCTTTTCCCAGCACATGAAAGACCCTGGGTTCCATTCCCACTACTGAGAAAAAAAGTAAAACAGAAGTCTAGGAGAAATAAAGTTTTGTTTATAGACATAATAGGTTTCATTGTGGAAGTTCCTCCAGGACAGAGTGCATCCAGGTTCAACGACAGAACACCAAGTGACCTATGCTGAGGACATATGCTTATGTCCTCAGGAAACTCTACAGTAGACTCTGAACAATTTTTATGAAAGACTAAATATTGTACAATTGCTTTTAACATTTACTATTTTACTTATCACTTAAAACAATCGTCAATCCACTATTATTCCTATTCTACAGATGAAGCTTCTGAGACTCGGAGAGATTAAGGAGCTTTCCCAGGGTCACACAGCAAACAAGCTCCAAAGCTGTGAGGCTACTGAGGCCAATGAAGCAGAAACAATACTGGCACCAGTGGGAGCAGCAGCACTTCAGCTAATTGTGATGACAAGGACCGTGGGACACACAGAACCTGTGAAGATAGGCCCAAGGGGATGCCATATGGAAAAATTACATTGGTGCAGAAGAAACAGAATGACAAAGTCGTACAATGAAGTTGCTTTTTGGTAACCTTGGCTACCGTCACTATAGTTTCAAGAAACTGTTTTCTACACATTCAGAGAAGATGTTGGCTTCCATCTGTGGTTTCCTGAGCGGATCCCAGCACCAGGCAGGTGTCTGTCAGCTCAGGAAGCTCTGTGATGAGTTGGGTCCATCCATTGCACAGCTTGAGGAGGTGGTTTATAAAGAAAAGGTCATAAAATACAGAGGCCACTGCAAATGGTGTCACAGCACTACTCACCGATCCTGGAGAGCCGGAATCTTGGAAGGACACTGCAAATATTGCTTAAACCGGAGTTCAAAGGCTTGTCCGATGGAGCCAATGACATCTTGGGCCAGCCCATCGCAGCATTCCAGAATGTGACAGGCTGAGAGAGAAGGGAACACAGGCCCATTAAGGGATGGATGCTGGAGCTTCCTCAGAGAGAGGAACAGAGAACAAAGAGGCACATTCCTCCTTCATAGTATGTCCCCACTTAGGTCCTTTGGCTTCACCCTGGGGATAACCCACAGCTATCATGGTAGGTGTGTGTTCTTAAGAGCCTACTGTCTGTAAAATGACGATTTCTACTTCTAAAAAAATTTTCTTTTTCAAATTCAAACTGACAGTCCTTCAGTATCTTTAGAGCCTGCAAATCATCAATTCTGATCTGTATAGGGAAACAGTGTTTAGCAGGTCTCACCATGGCAAAGAGACAAATCCTGCACAAACCAAGTCCCTTGAAGGCCACCCAGTGTGGCCACCACCCCATGTGGCCACTGGAAGCATTAAGAAGAGCAGCCTTTTAACGTGAATATAAAGGGTATTAATTCACAAGTATGACCATCCCAGAAATGGGCCTCCTGCATTTACATAAAAGTGAGATTGAATTTTCATGCAACCTGTGAGAAAAAGCAGATAAAAGTCAGAGACCTCTGTAGGTCAGAATGAGAGCACTCAGAGACAGAGGGAAAGGCTTGGGATTAATTACTCAGGACAGGCACCAGAGGTCACACAAGCACACCGTCCTGGAATAATGCATGGCAGACAAAAGCAAGCCAAATTTAAGAAGGAAGAGAGGGACTTTTCCTAGGAAAGAGTACTTCTCTGGAGTCAGAAATTATGTGTACTGTCGAGGAACACATCCATTGCAAAAGAGTCATAGCCCCTCCACCTGTCCCTCCTCAGGTGCTATTGGCCTGTTGTCATGAGCAACATGTTGAACAAAATGATGGGAGTCTGTTGTTTGACCAGACCAGACCAAAATAGAGCCACTCATGCCAAATACCCCACCATCAAACTAAAACTTTAAGGAAGCAGGCAGACCCCAGAACAGAACAGTTTTTCCAGAAAACAGAACATTCTAGTCTTCCTGAGCTAACATAATAAGGAAGGCCCTCTACTTTAGCCCTTACCCGAAATAATAACCGGATGTTACAATCAGGATTTTTTTATCTATCATTATTTTTCCCTGTTCCCACCTTACAAGACCCACTGTTCTGCCATTATCCTGTGGGAGGTTTTATCTGTTTTGTAGAATAAGGCTGCCTTGATTCATGAGTCAAAATAAAAGCCGGAGAGATCAATGACTAAGTTTGTTGCAACGTCTTTTGACAAGCTTAATGTGGTCTTGTTATTGGGTAGGATAAAGGAATTTTCCCCGAAGAAAGGGACTGATGTGGATCACACTCCATTCTTCTCTTGCCACTAGTCACAATGGCGAGACATGGAATTGTGCTCTCCCTGCAGGAAAAGCCAGCAACTTTCAGGAAAGGGCCAGAGACTCTACCTCCTCTACAAAGGGAGGCAGTTCTCAACAAAGCTCAGCCTTCTCAATGTACCAAGCCAGTCAGGGACTGTGATCTCACCCAGAAGGCAGTCACCCAGGCCCTGAAGCCTCAGGGTTTTTCTCACCTAGACTCCAGGTGGACACAAGGAAAAGTATTTCCTTAGAAAAGCATGTGTGAGCACCTTGCTGATTCAGCAGTCCTATTTTAGGATACAGCAATTGTATATTAGCAACGGCTAGGAGATTTATTTTAAAAGGTACAAGTTTCCTGGCTGTGTTTTTATTATGGATCATTGATATTATTTTATCATAGATATGATGATTTATTAAGTATTGCTGTGGATACTTGATAGCTGAAGTCGCTCTCTAGAGTTGGCCCAAGGTTACCCCAACTGACTGGCTTGGTCCTTGATATTAGTAAGGGGACCTGATGGCCACACCGAGGGCTACTTTATCTCTGAAAAGGTAAATGCAAATGCCTTCCATTTGCCGAAGAATGGTGATCATCAGGACAGCAGAAGGTAAGGCCCGGCTGTCGCCTCATCCATCAAATGACAGTTCACGGTATCTGTTTCTCCAAATGCATGTAGAGGCCAGTGGCTGCAGCTGACCTTTGGTGCTCAAGGCTGCCCCTGGTCATCTGCTCACTCAACCAACTGTGGACCAACTGAGAACCTGCAGTTCCTGGTGTGTGGCTTGTTCACCTGAGTGTGTTCTCAACACCCTGCCCGGGATACCTCCTATGTTGGTCAGGATGGGCAAATTATGTCAGGGTAACAACCCTTTCATTCTTGCTCATGCACTGCTGTCCTGTCCTCTTCCAACCAGCTCTGAACTTCTTATCTTGGGTCCTTACATGGGGCCTCCCTGAAAGCCTGGGGAGGAAAGAGCCAGCAGGGCCTCACCCCAAGACTGTATGCTCCATTCATCCTGCACTCAGCTTCCTGCACAGAATTGTCACTTGGTCCTCCCAAGCAGTCACTGTCTACTGAGTTTGAGAGGGAGGAGTGTGAAACACAGTGGCCTCCTCTTGTTTTTGATTTTGCTTTCAGTGGTTTGTTTCCTATGGTTGACTGCAGCATAAAAACATTACATAGAAAATTCTGGGGAAGAGGGAGATGGGAGGGTGGAGAGGGGAAGTAAAAAGGATTAGATACCACATACATGTGTACCAGCTCCCCAAGATGCATGAAATTATTATGTATAGAAAACATATAGAAAAATGAAAACCAGAAAAAAGGAAAGTGGCAAGAACAATGAGTTAAGTGTGTTCAAAGTGAGGGGGAATATTTTGAGGGGGATTAATAGCAATATGTCTTTTACTGTTATAAACTTTTAAAATTTAAACTTTAAAAAAATTCATAAGTTTGAAACTGTGCATTGTTCTGAGAATGAATGATATCTTAGTTGGCAGATTAGTTCTGTCTAAGGGCTTGTGTTCAGGTAACCCTGACTACTTAATAAAAGCCCTGAAGCACAGGAGTAGTTACGCTGGGCAGTCACAGGAGCCAAAGAGAAGCTGTAGGTGTTAACTGAAAACATGAAAGTTCCTGACTTAAGGAAGGTCCACTGTAAGAACGAGTTTGCTACCTGCAAAGTCTAAAATTGTAAAGAATGAAAAAGAAACTCATGCTGGGTTTTCTGTCCCACCTCACACTGTGAAAGTCACAGCCACAGAGCGTGCTAAGTGCTGAGTTAAGGTGGAAAGGGCACTAAATTATAGGCTGGATACTATCCTCAGGTTTCAGCATCCACGAGGTCTCGGGACCTGTCTCCCATGGGTAAGGGAGTATAATTCCTACTTTATAATTAGTGTAATCCCTAACTTACGGTTCTGTCTGGAAGGTTTAGTTCAGTTAGTATGAGTTCATAGATTAATATAACTCCATTGGTCTGTTTTGTTTTATTACCTGTGCTTTTGAGCCCTTAGCCACAAAAATTCTTGCCCAGACCAATGCCATAAAACATTTCCCGTGTGTTTTCCTCCAGTAGTTTTCTTCTAAAAGTTTCATTGTATGGGGGTCTTGCAATCAGATCTTTTATCTATTAAGAATTGATTTTTACAGATGATGGGAGACAGGATCTCCTTGTATCCTTCTGCATGTGAATATACGTGTCTTCCAGCCCCAGTTAGTGAAGAGATTCTCCTCTCCACAGTGCGAATTCTTAGCATCTCTATGGGAAATCAGTTGGCTGTGAATGTGTTGATTTATCTCTGGGCTCTATTCTGTTCCCTTCGTCTATGTGTCTGTTTTTATGCCAAAATAATGCTTTTTTGATTACTCTAGCTTTGTAGTATATTTTGAAGTCAAGTACTATGGTGCCTCCAGCTGTGTATTTTCAGTTGTTGTTGTTGTTCAAGGTTATTTTGCTTATTTGCAATCTTTTGTGGTTCCATACATATTTTAGGATTTTTTTCCTATTCCTGTGAACAATATTATTGGTATTTTGATAGGGATTGCATTGAATCTGCAGACTGAATCTAAAAACTTGATCTCCTAGAAGTAGAGAGTAGAATGGTGGTTATCACAGCCTGGGATGAGAAGGAGGGAAGAGAGAAAGGGAAGTGTTGGTTCAAGGATAGATGATTACAGTTAAGAAGAATCAATTTCAAAGGATTCTGTGTACAGCAAGGTGACTAAAGTTATGACATAATTTTGTATTCTTAAAAATGTGAGAAGAAGATCATGTGTTCTCACCATAAAAATTATAATGATGCGAGGCAATGCATTGTTAGATTTAAAGCATTCACAGTGAAAATATACACTGCCTCTCTGAATCCATTGGTTCTAGAACTCACCCCACCCTAGGACAGCAAAATCCATGATCCTCAAGCTCCTTATGTGAAAAGACAGAGTATTTGCACAGAACCTGTACACATCCTCTGGTATACTTCAAACCTAGATTACTAGTAATACCTAATTACAATGTACATGCTACGTAAATACTTGTTATATTGCAATTTTTATTTTTATCATTTTTATCTCGGTGTTATTTTTTATTGTTGAGGGTTTTTTCAAATATTTTTGATCTGCAGTTGGTTGAATCTGAGGATCTAGCGCCTGTGGACTTAGAGGCTCAAATGTACTTCAAAACATCCTGTTGTATATGACAAAACCACACAATATTATCTGTCAATTAAAAAAGAAAAACAAAAAGAAAATTTAAGAACTACTTAATTGGACTCCAGATCTTTAGCACAACAAGCTGGGAGCAGACAGAATGCGTATGCTCCACACCCTACAGTTACACTGAGCCCACTCTTCCCCACACCTTCTGTGGCAGGGCCTGAGAAGGTTGGTGTAAGAAGGTCCCAGGCTCAGGGCCAACAAGTGTGAAGGTCCCAGGGCAGAAGCTTGCAAGGCCTAGTCAAGGAACTTCTGGAAATTGGAGTAGCTAGAGGGGTATGGAGCAGGAGAGGGTAAGAAATGAAACAGAATTGCGCTCACAGAAGGTTCCACGGGCATGGGAAGGATGTGACAATGTACTTGGGTTCAGCAGAGGAGGGGCGCAACTGCACCATTTTCAAAGGATCCCCCGAGCAGTCATGTGGAGAAAGGCCTTAGGGTTGAGTGGGACATGGGGGGCCATGTGTGGGT